CTGCAATTTCCCCTCGAAGGAGGAAGTCAAATACTTACAGGTGCTCTTGTCATTTCCAAGGAAGAGTTTATTATTAATAGCTGCGGCTTTCACATTTTATACAAACACCTCTAAAGTACGACCGGCATGTAAAAAAAAGAAAAAGGACAACAGGCGCTGCTCTTTCTGAAAATGCTGCTTGCCTGGCTGTTCTGAGGCCTTAAAGCAGAAAAGTTTAAAGAAGAACTCTGTGTAAAAATGTCATCAACCCTTTGAAGTGGGGCTACCCCGACACTGCAAGGGTTAAGTGCTATTTTTGTCTAGGGTTAAGAATAAAAAAGTTAACTTTCCTGACCCTCCGAGCCGGAATGCTAATAGGCCGGTCCTTCCAGCTTCTCTCCCCCTACGCTGCAGCGGTCTAAGGTCCCCAAGTCATCACCTTTTATACACAGTGTATAGGATGTGAGGACGCCGGCGGACATACCATCGCTGCAGTAAGGGGAGGTGACAGGCAGGAGGGAGCTCTGTGGCAGCCGGCCAGATTCGGGTGAGTATAACTTTTTTGTTATTTTTGAACCTAGGCAAACGTGAGCACTTACCTTACATTGCTGGAGTAGCCCCACTGCAAGGGTTAAGGACGTTTTTAACCAGAGTTCTTCTTTAATCCTGATTCAAAAATGGCAGCCCAACCTTTACCAAACGCATTGTTCTTTTCTTCAAAGCAGCACCCACCCTGATGAATCCCTATTGGGGCGCAACATTTCCGGGGCTCATTATAGATAACATCCTGTATGTAAGGCGGGTGGCCGCTGTGTACCCGGGTTACCAGTCATGTGACCTCCACATTGTAGTTATTACTGGCATCTCAGTCTATGATGTGTACCTCACTGCAGTCCTGACCTGGAAGCCACTTGTCAATTTTCAGCGGGTGCTGCAGTGACAAGCGGGTGGTACATGGGCACAATAGAAGAAAAGTCTCCGGTGTTCTATAGAAAGCTCCAACTTGTCGAGCTCTCCGACTGGTGATGTCACATCCGGTGACTGCCAGTCTGCCTGTAGGAGATTTACACCAGATGGAGCCAAGTCAGACCTTTCGATAGAACACCGGCACACCAAAATTCCTCGTGAAGAGTCTTTAATGACGTCACATTCAAAGTATCACGAGCAATGCAATAATTGGGATGCGATGAACATTTGACGTCGTTAAATATGCTCCTCACAAGGAATTTTGGGGTGCTGGTGACTTTTCCTCTATCAGACCCCCAGTCTGTCCTGCACGCTCTCGCTGCATAATCTGAATGACGATGCGGGCGGCTGATTGGCACGCCCCCAGTGAATGCAGTCATCCTCGTTGAATGATGGGAACTGTAGTCCGAAACAGTGCTGACAACAGGAATTGACGTTGGCACTTCCCTCCATCCCTTACCATGGTGCCAGGGATTCCGGTTTTCTATCGAAAGGTCAGACTTGTCGAGTTCTCAGACTGCTGACGTCACACCCGGTGACTGCCAGTAGGAGATCTACGCCAGATGAAGCTACTGCGCGTGCTCATGGAATCCTTTTCGAAATATCTAACTATTGCCACGACACCTGCGTGGCCCCGTCAAATTCTATAACCACGCTCGGCACTGCGCCTGCGTGGCTGCCGGCTCCTATAACCTACGGCAAAGATAAGTTTGTACTAGGTTTTAGAATCCGATGAGCCGATAGCCGCGCAGGCACAGTGTCAATAGTTAGAGAATTCGGCAACGATTCCATGGCCATGCGCACTAGCTCCATCTGGTGTAGATCTCCTATTGGCAGTCACCAGATGTGACATCACCTGTCGGAGAGCTCGACAAGTTGGAGCTTTCAATAGAACACCGGCACGACGTCACACATAAAATCTGCAAAAATGATGCGTTTGTGGAAACAAAAACATATTTTTTGGATGAGACTTTTTTTTTTTTTTTAACGATGTTGGAAATGAGATTTGAAGGGATTTCCATCGTAGGATAGAACAACTCCGCTTCGTGCCAGCAGAGGGCAGCAAAGGCAATGTGTTTACTCATGCAGAGTGTACACACTCCAAGCAAGGTGACAGAGGATGTGGGCACCAACAAGGTGACACTTGTTGCACAACCGTGACACACGGCTCTACTTCCATTGTTTAACCCCGTCCTGGAATCCAACATCCTTACAGCCAAATATTTTTTTATAGGCGAAAGAGCAAGCCAACGATTCACCTACAGCAACCAACCAAAAATCTATTTTCTTTAGGCTGCTCCTGCAACAATATATTTCACTACTTGAATGATTGTTAAGGTGACCCGAAAGTGATTTTGTTTATGTGACATGTATGCATGCTTGTGGTTATTTGCATGACCAGATCTGAGAATTATATATTTTGTACATTCCTCCTTAAAGTAGCGGTCTTTAAGCCATATGTAGTCCGCATTCCTGCCGAGATTACAGGATAAGCCACACACGGCCCTTTTTGATCAAGAGTGACAATTCTTAAGAGCAGTACCCCATATATCCTTCATCATCAAGAGTGAATTCTGATTGGTAGCACTGCTCGCCATACGGAAGGAGCCTTAAAAAGAGGACAGGATCTGCAACCTATGGTGTTGAAGTCATTCACAGCTCATAGCAGCATAGTCATACCATCAGGCTCCGCCCACTACAAGCTGCCTGCAGAAAACTACAGGAGGGGGCGGAGACCAGACCAGTCACCCTGCACCAGGAGAGAGAGCAGCAGTGACCAGTCTTTATTACAGGAGGGGGCAGAGGCAAGACCAGTCACCCTGCGCAAAGTGAGAGAGCAGCAGTGACAGGTCTGTAATACAGGAAATTCCTGCACACAGGCAAAGTTTCATGTTGGATTACTGCACAGACCTGGAAGAACTACACACAGTGTCCCCGAAAAGAAAACTGCTATAGAAATACTGTAATGGATGTGGTTAAGTGACTATGATAAAAATGCCTATGCAGGTCCAAAACAATACAAGCTAAATGAAATGTAAAAAAAAATTAAGCCCTGTAACCCGGCAAAGATGCATTATAACAGCAGGAAATCAGTATTTTATTTAATGACGGAGGACGCCACCTAAAAATGTGTATTACGTTATGGATGGAGTTTTAATTGGATGCCGTTGCATTCAGGTCAAATTTCCCCCAATGAAGATCCATTGCTACAAAGTGCCCCCAGCAATCCCACCTCTCAGCGCTCTGACTTCCTGTGCTGGTGTGTTGGCATTCTGGGAGGAGAGTTAGTGAGCCCCTGTCTGCGTTTTATTGCTCTCGTGTTTGTGAAGCATTTTTAGAAGGATCGGGAACAGTATCTGAATTTTTAATGGGATCTTGTGGAGAAATGTTCATTTGCAATTTTATGGCTGCTTTTTCCATGCGTGACGCTTTTGTAAACACAACGCAATGGCCTATTTCTGCTGCATTTCACCTGCTTATGTCCCTCTATACAAGTCAGAGCGCAACGCAATATGGTAAAACACAATCGCAGAATCAATCCATCTTCCCCTGACAGTTACTAGAGTCACACTTTCTCCTAACTTCCTCTGGCGTCTAATGGCCGGCTACACAAAGCCCTTTGATGTGTATTCCATGCACAATTTAGAATCAAACCTCGAGTTACACACGGAGCACAGCATGGCTGCTTATTGCTTTTCATTGTAGTGTTGCTGTAATGCACCATCCCCTTGTGTCCTGGGGATCCTGGAACACAACTGCTGGTGATGCTGGAATACCGCTGTGGCAGCCAACAGCATACAGGAAGCCTGGCAGAAAATTACAGATCTAAGCAGCTTATCACAGCCACCAATTAGATTCAAACCTGCCTTAGATGTCCGAATTTGATTGGTGATGCAGAAATCAAAGAGGACGTCAAATGGCAAAGTCAGGGTTACATGGCATTTGGGACGTGGCACGGCACAGTCAGGATGTTGCACGGCACAGTCAGGATGTCACACTGCACAGTCGGGACGTCACACGGCACAGTCGGGACGTCACACGGCACAGTCGGGACGTCACACGGCACAGTCGGGACGTCACACGGCACAGTCGGGACGTCACACGGCACAGTCGGGACGTCACACGGCACAGTCGGGACGTCACACGGCACAGTCGGGACGTCACACGGCACAGTCGGGACGTCACACGGCACAGTCGGGACGTCACACGGCACAGTCAGGACGTCACAGTCAGGACGTCACACGGCACAGTCAGGATGTCAGATGGCACAGACAGGATGTCACACGGCACAGACAGGATGTCACACGGCACAGACAGGATGTCACACGGCACAGACAGGATGTCACACGGCACAGACAGGATGTCACACGGCACAGTCGGGACGTCACACGGCACAGTCGGGACGTCACACGGCACAGTCAGGACGTCAGATGGCACAGTCAGGACGTCACAGTCAGGACGTCACACGGCACAGTCAGGATGTCAGATGGCACAGACAGGATGTCACACGGCACAGACAGGATGTCACACGGCACAGTCAGGATGTCACACGGCACAGACAGGATGTCACACGGCACAGACAGGATGTCAGACGGCACAGACAGGATGTCACACGGCACAGTCAGGATGTCAGATGGCATAGTCAGGACGTTACATTGCACAGTCAGAATATCAGATGGCACAGTCAGGAAGTACACTCCTACTGCCCTCCTACCTACCCTTTGTAGGTTCTTGTGGGCGCAGCAGATCGCAGAGAACTCAAATCATGGTACATTGAGTGAACCTTCCGACTTTAAACAGAGTTGCAACATTTGCTGAATACCATTAGCATCTCATTAGCTGCTATTACTTGCTCCCTGCAATTGTTCTTTATAGAGCAATAATTATGTCAGCAGCAGTTCATAACCAACAATTGTTCTCATTTCACATCCTTAGTAGCAAGTATCAAAGGCCCAAACCAGGTGTGGCCATCATCGACCCAAAGCCAAATTGGCAGATTTGGCCGATGTTTTTATTAAATATAGACCTGAATAAAAAGTTCCTCCAATAATTACCTCAAATGCTGCCAGGTCATCAAAATCCACAGAGCAGGCCGGCTCTCCTTCAGATGGGTATCCCATATCATACAGCTGCATATCCAGGTCTACAAAAAGAAAACAAAAAATCAGACCAGAGCGGTTGTCGGGGTTATAAAGAAAGTGATTTCTATGTATTATTGTATTCTACATCAGTCATAGGAGGACATATGGTGATGAATGGACAATCTGAAAACAATGCTCAGTACGTTCACCTCGGCACCGAAAACAATAGCATATCATTTATTATATACGCTCTCCATCTTGTTAGTAGTCCCAGTGCCCTGGAACAATCTGTAAACTATGGATGAATTCTGACTGAACAAAAATGGCTGCCACAACTATCTCTGGGGCCCTTCATCCAAATCTAATGTTAGCTATGTGTAGAAAGAGTCACCTAATGCATTTCAAAGCTTTTGGGGACACAGGCAGCAACTTGCTCAGGAACGAGGCTTAAAAAAGTGTTGATCGCAAAAAAACAATCTTTTTTTGTACACACACACACTTTTGGGGCTATTTATAAATAATCCCCAGGGCCATTTGCCCTGCAAATACCTGAGCGGTCGTTCTGTGCGGGTAAATGCCAAAACGAACATTCTTTAGTATTTTTAAACATGGCAATGTATTGTTACATGTTTTTTTCTTCTTTGCAATCCCACATTATGACCACTAGATGGCGCTGAGCACAGACAAAATACTTATTGTCTAAGCTCCTCCGCTTCACCTAGTGGCCATAGTGCGGCATTACATGAAAAAATAAATGAAAATACAGTGAGGGGTATTTACCAAAACTGGAGCAGTTGCCCATGAAAACCAATCAGCTTCTATCTTCAGTTTGTTCAGTTAAGATTTGAAAATGAAACAGAGAAGCTGATTGGTTGCCATGCACAGCTGCTCCGGATTCTGTCTGCTCCAGTTTTGATAAATTCCTCTCATTGTCTTGTACAAAAAAAAAAAAACAACAGCTGAAGAATGAGGGGAGGGGAGGGATGGTTGTTCGGAATAGGGAGGGGGCATGGTGTCTGCCAACAAAGCCGCCCACCGCTCGAATCAACAGGAATTGGACAAATTTCATGCAGTGTATGGCCAGCTTTAAACAATACACACAGGTATAAGGCAATATGAAAGACCACCCTGATGCTAAGGGGCCCAAAGCTCCAGGCCCTGCACTTGCAGGTGTAAAACAGTGGTTGGGGATCCCTGCTGACATATAGCCGCACAGAATGACCATTCGGATATATTCGCAGGGAAGGCAGCCCAGGAAACTGTTTTTAACAAAACCCTATGGTCTTCGACGTGTTTGTTCCATGCAGGTCATTATCAAGGGTTCCCAATCCACCTGCATAATCTCCATTTACTATTGTCTACTAGGCTCTGTTCACACCCAAGCGTTGCGGGAACGTGCCTCAACAGTGCAAACAAAAGCGTATTCATAAACGCGCACAAATGTGAAATGCGCTGACGTTGCCATTATTAGTTAATGGCACCCCAAACGCGCCCAGGAATACGTGGGTTCCTCCTCTACGTTTGCGCGTGTTATAGCGCGCACGAATGTGAAAGAAAAAAATGCGGAAAGCATGTCGCACAGTTTGCTACATGCATTACTTTTCCGCACCTTTAGGAACCCATTAAAAATCAATGGGGACATGCGGCAAACGTGGAGCGCAAACGCTACGCTAGGTGTGAACACGGGCAAATGGAGAATGGAACCAGAGTAGCCGGAAAACCAAAATTCCCAGGTAGGCAGAACAGAGTTGGGAATTTTTAGGGCTGGCTCACCTTAAAACAACAAGGAAAAGGGACTGCTAAAATCTTCCAGGAAGCAGTTAAAATGTAATACAAAACCGATCATTAAATTGTTGTGGAAACAAAAAGAAGAAATTAAGAAGTGATATTTCTGGTTCTCCATCCTGCAAGCTCTCCCGTAATTCAGAAGATTAGACGCTTTGTGTTTATTCTCCGTGTCACACCCAAAGTGAAAGGAGAACACGGGTATCAGGGCTTCGGATCAAGGCCCGTCCATCTGCATTCCTTCATCATGGTTGTGGAAATTGGCAGCACGGGGAGATTTTTAGTTCCTTAACAGATGAAAGGGAACCAACTTCTGTGTGCCTTTCCAAGGGAAATTCCAGAACATAGCACGGTGTTCTCAAACAACTCAAACCACCAGAATTATAATATTAGGCAAATAAAGCTGTTCACATGACGGAACAGAAATGGGTACTGAATGAGCATCTTAACTTCTACACTGAAGATCCTTAAGGGTCCTTTAAAAAAATAAATAAATTGCAGGACCCTTCATCCGTCAAATATCTGTGAGCGTTTGTTTTGTGTGAATGATGCCAGAAACAAATGAATGTTCTGTTCTTTTTGTATTTCCCCCCCCCCCCCCACCCCCCCCCCCCCAAAAAAATGTAGTGTTATAATACTACATTATGGCCACTAGATGGAGCTGAAGAGCATGGGAAATGCTGATTTAATGTGCTCCTCATCTCCATCTAGTGGCCATAGTGTATTACAACACAATACATTCAAACTGGGAAAAAATATATTAAGAACATTCCTTTTTTTTTAGCATTATATGCCCAAAACGAATGTTTACAGATATTCGAAGGGTCCTAACAACTATTTATAAATAGACCCCTTAGAAGCTACTCTCAGAATTCTACCATTTTTCTTTTCTGCTCTTAGAAATACTTTGCTTTTTTGAACTCAGAATTCAATAATAGCCTATAAAACTGTGCCTAGAATTATCTAATGCAGACACATTCACTCCATATCTAAGCTGGCTTATTTGATAGTGCAAGCACAGGGCTTAGGTTGAAATGTGTAGTGAATGTCTCCAATTCACTGCAGAGTTCTCTAATCAGGACATCCATGAAGAAATTGAAATAACGGTCCTGCAGTGCAAATTGAGACTTAAGGTGGCCATACGGGCTAAGCAGGGTGGATGGAGGAATCCCTGCTGCCTGATTGGATGCAGGCGCTGGTCAGCCGAGAATTTTTGAATCAGCCCCTTCAACAAAAGTAGATGAAGAAATCTACTTTGTTGAACAGGGGTGGTGGTGTGGTAGAGAAGGGGTGGGGTAGAGGAGGGGGTTGTCCGGAATGGGGAGGGTATGTGGTGTCTGCCAACAAAGCCACCCACCGCTCAAATTTCGGATAAATCAACAGAAACTGGACACATTTCATGCAGCGTATGGCCAGCTTTAGATAAAAGAAGACAGGCATTAGGCAATATGAGAGACCACCTTGATGCTAAGGGGCCCAAACCTGCAGGCCCTGCGCTTGCACGTGTAAAACAGTGGTTAGGGTTCCTTGTTTAGCGATCCTCTGCTCCAGGGCACAGTGGCGATGTAAGCAGAAGAAAGTATCTGACACTTCAGTATCAAAGGCTCAACAAGCAATGAAGCCAGAGGGTGAACATGACAACCAAGGAGCTGGCATTGCCCTTCAGAGATCAGCAATGGCAGCCTATGTATTTCTCTCTATACAGGTTTCCTTTAAAGTGGACCTGAACTGAAATAGTGAAGCTCTATCATCATAAAGGGAACATCTAGACATTAACTGTGGCTAAGCAGTACCCGGAAAAACTTACATATTGTCCCAAATTCCTCAGAAATTGGAGTGCCTAGGCCAGGGGTAGCCAAACTCCGGCCCTCCAGCTGTGGTGAAACTACAAATCCCATGATGCATCTCTCTCTGGGAGTCATGTCTGTGGCTGTGAGAATTTTGCAATGCCTCATGGGACTTGTAGTTCCACCACAGCTGGAGGGCTGGAGTTTGGCTACCCCTGGCCCCTAGGCTCTCCTGTTCCTTTAGTCTCATAGCAATATATCTGCAGTGTGAGATCATCTAAGGCAGCGGTTCTCAACCTGTGGGTTGCGACCCCGTCGGGGGTCGAATGACGATTTGCCAGGGGTCGCCTAAAGACATCCCAACTCCCCCGTCCCCCGGACGCTCCCGCTACTAGATAGCGGCTCTCGGCCGCCCGGGAGAGAAACAATTTCTCCCGGAAAGGTTTACTCTGCTCGACCGAGCAGAGTAAACCTTTCCCTGCTCTGTTTTTTTAATTTTTTTTATCTGACATCGGAGCCGCCGTCCGCCGTCATTTAGAGAAAAAGAAAAGAAAAAAAAAAAAAACAGCATAGGAATGCATATCTAGATTTCTATTGGCTATTTCACTTTGCAATAGCCAATAGCAAACTAGCTATTGCACCCGCCCACTGCTGCTGTTAATCAGCAGTGGGGGACCTGAAGTTCTCCATCCGTTCCTCCTCTAGTGAGTGACAGCAGCAGAGGGCGGGTGCAATAGACAGCTTGCTATTGGATATTGCAAATTGAAATAGCCAATAGGAATCTAGTTATGCATTCCTATGCAGTTTTTTTTTTTTTCTGACCGGCGGCTCCGATGTCAGAATAAAAAAAAAACCAGGAGCAGGGAAAGGTTTACTCTGCTCGATCGAGCAGAATAAATCTTTTCCCGGGAGAAATTGTTTCTCTCCCGGGCGGCCGGGAGCCGATATCTAACGGTAGCAAAATTACAGCGATGAAGGAGCAACGAAAATAATTTTACTTTTAGGGGTCGCCACAACTTGGGCAATTTTATCAAAGGGTCGCGGCACTAGAAAGGTTGAGAACCGCTGATCTAAGGCAATGCTGTCTGACTGTCCCCATTCAAATTTGCACAGCCATGGCATGCTGTGGAGAAAGGTACTACACATCTGTCATTGTCCCCCCCATTAGGAACAAGGGGGGGTTCAAAATACAATGGGTTCCCTCCTACCCAGAAAAGGACAGTTATGTTTCTGAACCTGAGCTGGGTGTTCTCTCACGTGGTCAGTTTAGGTTAAATCAGCGCATAGGTCTTCTTTAGTGTTTTTTTAGTGGATACAAAACATGAACATCCACCTCACATTTCCACAGCGGCTGCCAGGAACAATATTTTATGATTAGACAGTCTCCAGGCTTTCCAGGCCGCGGTTTTTAGGAAAGTTGAAGTCACCAGCACACGTAAGACTCTGCCAGGTAAAAGTCTAATGCAACATGTGAAGAAGAACTGGAGAGAAGGAAAGTGGAGGAGCTGCAGCCCCATTACTGAGGTATGGATATCTTACAATGGAACGTCTCATCAGACATTGCCTTGTACACAAAGTTCACAGATAAGCCTGCACACAACACGGATCCTACCTACACTATTGTCCTCCCGCGTACACTGTATCTTTTCACATGTAAATCTGGTACTAAAGGATTTTCGGTTAACCTCAGCTATTTACATGGACACACATCACCGTGAATATATGTGGTTTTCAGAATGGACATTTGTCAAGGGAACTTGCAGTCCCATAGCTAGTCTGAGGGAAGGCACTGCCAAGAGGACTCAATGGCCAATCCAGCAAAACCTGCAATCAGCATCTATGAATTATGTTCTTTCCCTTCAGCAGAGGCCATGTGACCAATGAGTAGCCAAATTTCCTTGGACTAGCTTCCAGCAGGAGCCTGAGGCACCATTTTCTACAAGAAAGGATTTCCTTTTTATTTTGACCGAATTCAACTTTAATCATTTTTTATTGAAGCATTAATAAAAGCTATAGATCAGTGGTGGACAATGTACTTGATATATGGGGTCATCCCTAAAAGTCCACACATAATATTAATTGAAGGCAATAAGGTAATGTTACTGAAAGCCATCAAACTGCACACATGCTACAAGAAATGGTCAAAGACTATGGGCATGCTACAAGAGATGGTCAAAGCCTATGGGCATGCTACAAGAGATGGTCAAAGACTATGGGCATGCTACAAGAGATGGGTCAAAGCCTATGGGCATGCTACAAGAGATAGTCAAAGCCTATGGGCATGCTACAAGAGATGGTCAAAGACCATGGGCATGCTACAAGACATGGTCAATGACTATGGACATGCTACAAGACATGGTCAATGACTATGGACATGCTACAAGACATGGTCATTGACCATGTCTTGTTGCATGTCCATAGTCATTGACCATGTCTTGTTGCATGTCCATAGTCATTGACCATGGACATGCTACAAGACATGGTCAAAGACTATGGTCATGCTACAAAAGATGGTCAAAGCCTATGGGCATGTTACAAGAGATTGTGCAGTCTACCCAATAATCAACAATGCTGGAAGATGGGCTCTTTTCCCTCACATTTAAGGCACCACTACACTGACCACCAATGTAAGAAGGTGTATTTCTATTCAACACCAATGTAAGGGGGCACCACAATACCAGTCCACAGTCACCTGCGCAGAACGTCTACAGATCAGGAAAGTCGGAGAATAATTCAAGGTCCTTATCTGCATGCCCATGTCTCAAAGTTTGCAAGCCAAAGGGTTAGAGCAAAACCAGTTAACTAGCATTGTAAGATTAATTAAAAAAAAATTAGGTTTCCTTTTAAGACTACATGAGTGTTTAGATTCAACAAAGACGAGAAAAATAAAGGAAATGCCAGCATCCAATCAGATTGTTCAGGTGTTTGGAGAGCCAGCGGGGCCAACTAGCAAGATACTGAAGCTTGGCCCAGCGGGAGATTCCTCCATCCACACAGTTTAACTTAGATGGAGGAATCTGGGGCACTTTTTCCATCTGACCACAGAAAATCTGCAGCTCATCTATAGGTGTATGGCCAGCTTTACAGCCCTGATGTTGTTGACTATGCCCAGCTGAATAGTTGCAGGAAAGGTCACCACCCATAGCCTTAAATAACACAATAAGGACCTGCTTTCTGTTCTGCTCCTGGGCTATGCTCTGACTCACCTTCATTCTGGATTTCGGAGATACCCCGATAGAAGTCACGGAAATTTATAACCCCCAGACCAGCTGGATCCAGGTACCCAGTGAGGTATTTTACCTGGGAAAGAGAAAAAAACAGATATTAGTGATTGAAGATGACAAAGCCTCTGACAATTCTTACCCTTGGTTTCATTCTTTAAAGCTAAACTCCAGGCAAACAGCTAAATGCACAGCTGACCTACATAAGGAGGGAATAAGCATATAAATGTAACCACTGCGATCCCTGTAGTATCAATGGTTATATTTTCTATGTTTATTCCCTTCAGCATTCCCCAAAAATGCAACAGAAGCTCATCACTAACATTTTTTTCCTATCATCCCTTAGCACCATCTAGTGGCCATAATGCAGTATTTTCATTTGTTTTTATCCCGTTCTCACAAGTATTTCTGCTGAACGAATAAGCGTTTTTTTGTGTGTTATAAATACACCCTGAAGTATTTATTAGGGATGCAGCGATCTATGGGCCGCCGAAACATATCAGCCAAAAATGGCTGATATGCCCCAAATTCAGTTTTTTGGCCGAAATAGCAGTGCATACGTTCTTTCCCTCATCCCCGCAGGGCGCTGCTCTGTGTCCCAGCGGGGAGGAGAGAAACTGTCACAGGAGGCAGAGTATTGCGGGAGGAGAGCGATGTGAGCGGCCGGCGTCTCTCCTCCCTGTACTGCTCAGCCTCCCGTCACAGATCAGAGGAGAGCGATGTGTGGGCGGAGACAGCCAGCGCACCCGTAAAAAAATGTTGTGGGTTTTTTCGTTTTGCGTGTGTACATTTTTTTTTTTGTGAGCAATTTTTTTTTTTTACACTTAACTTTATTGTTATCACATAGGGTGCTAAGAAGTACCCTATGTGATAACAAATTTGTGACAGGTTCCCTTTATGGAGACATCAGGGGCATCTAAGACCCCTAATGTCACCTACGGACCACCCAGAGAAGCTAATGAAGCACAGATCTGCTTCATCAGCTTCTCTCCGGTTTCTGTACCGGAGAGTGACAGAGGAAGGCGGATGTGATGGTTTTTCGGTGCACCTCTAGCATTTATGTCTATTCCCTTCACTGCAGGATGTCGCCGAATGCTACAGGTTATACAGATGAGAGCAGGAGTTCCTATTGCATTATAAAACAGTGAGAACTACTCTTTTCAAAAAGAAAAATGGGCAGACGGGCCGTGCAGTGGTGGAAGGGATAAAACCCACATGAGCAATATAGTACAAAGTCCCCACTCTTATAGGCAGCAAAAATGATCCTCCTATTCCACTTCTAATATATCACAGAGGTCACTGTGTGCAAATATAGGTGGAAGCTGCACACCACGTAGCTCTTTACTGCGGGGACCCACTCTAAGCTATGAGAGGACTGACAAGGGAACATGTGTTACAGAATTCAATACAATGGTAGCAAATGCTCCCAGGAGACGACATGACTACTCATGTTGCACACATACTTGCACATGGCATGTATATGCAACAACCACAAGAATAAGTTCAATCAGCTGAAGGTATGTATAGTGCACTGCTGGAAGGGTAATTCTCAAAGCAGCATCCCAAAAAGAGAACCTGTCTAACCTAGAGTGCTTATACATTTAATGGAGTAATACATTTACCATTGTTGGCTCTCTTGGATCGGAGCTAGATTTGATAAGGGGGCACCCTGGCACTGCCACATACATTTGCAAATTAGTGTAGCAAAGACCTCTGTGTAGCCCAACTCCAGCCACAACTATTTTTCTCATTAGTTCTGGGCAGGTCGGTAAAGGGAGAAAACACCTAATGTCTATATGTGGAGATCTCCCTGTACCTCCCATTGGGACAGGAACTGATAGGAAAATCACTTCAGTGGCAACCACTTGAGAAAGGGTTAGCAACTCTGTCATGTTAATATTGCTGTCTGTGCCTCTCTGTCCGACTACAACCCCCTCTCGTCCTGCTACAGGAACAGGAATTGAGGTGAAATCTTACTAACTGGGCAATGGCCAGTGATATATATCTCAAGTCTATATAAAAAAAATGGCTAAAGCTGGGCTTTGAGTCAAAAACATATTGGACAGGTCCTCTTTGCTGCCTAGAATATCGGAGTACCGAAAAATGTTGTATAATACTGTTCTTGTTCAAACACTCACTGAAGGCTCCTCTGCAAAAATTCTTCCTTGCAACTTTCCCTCCCTCCCGCCTAGGAAAATGCACACTCTCTCGTCAGCCCCATTACAAGCTCCGCTACCAGTCCCTCCTTTCCTCTGTTCTTGCCAATTTTTTCCACCCCGCTGCTCTGCATATTAACCCTGAGCTGGCCGCAGAGCGCAGGAAGTCTTCCGCAGCAGCCCTGCACAGATGTAACCATGATGTCACTTCTGACACTCCGTGTAACCAGCCGGCACAGGCTCTCACCTTCCCACACACAGCCTGGCAGATCTGACATCACTCACAGGTAATAAGAACGGCATTTAAAGGGAACCTGTCGCAATGCAAACAAACAAACAAACCTTGTGTTGATGAAGTAGCCATACCCCAACAGCAGGGTTTGTAAAGATATTTGTTCTCACGATTAACAGAATCTCTGCCGCTATTATTTAAAGGGCAAAGCTACATCTCCCCTGCTCTTCGATAAGGTGCCATTTTCATTGCAAAGCACAATGCAGGATCGATAGTCCCACATTGTACAAGAGGATGGTGAGGGTCCTGCCAACAACCCAGAGCGTCAGAGAGAAGCAGAGAGAGCCAGGGCAAGGAATACATTTGGGGGGGGGACGGGACACTTGATGCAAGGGTAGTTTTGTAACAATTTCAAACATCGGTCTGAAAACCTACCCTTTATTTTTGCTAGAGATGCACCGATACCGATCGATTTTTCTGTATTTTTTTGGTACTTTCCAATACCGAGTTCCGGTGCTGTGTGCCCCGATTATCAGGAAGTCGGGTGCCGGATCATGACCCATCGCCCGGCTTTCCCGATTGCCTGTGAAGCCAGTGTTCTAGCGAAAGATCATCGGCTTCACTCGCTGATGCTGCCTGGCTTCCTGACCAATCGGGAAGCTGGGCGGCAAGTCATGACGTGCCGCACGGCTTCCTGATTGGCTAGGAAGCCGGCTACCCTTGTTGCTAGGCAGCCTGGATTCCTGATCAATCAGGAAGCCGGGGCGGCACATCATGAGCCGCCTCCCGGCTTGGCTAGAAAGCAGGCTTCACTTGTTGCTAGGCAGCGTAGCTTCCAGACATGATGCCCGGGTTCCCGATAGACTAGGAAGCCAGCTTCACTTGTGGATAGGAACCCTGGCGGCACGTCATGACCCCCCTCCCGGCTTCCTGATTGGTCAGGAAGCCAGGCTGCTTTGCAACAAGTGAAGCCTGCTTCTTAGCCAATCGGGAAACAGGGAGGTGGGTCATAACGTGCCGCCCGACTTCCTGATTGGTTAGGAAGCCAGGCTGGGAGGCGGGTCTAAACCCACCGCCAGCTTCCTGATTGGAAAGAAAGCCGGCTCTATGCTCCCTCGCACTGCCGGTCAGAGGGAGATCTCCCTCTGACCAGAAGTTCCGGTATCGGGCAAGGTATCGGAGCATTTAGGCGAGTATGAGTACTCGCCTAAATACTCAGTATCGACACTGATACCGATACCAGTATTGCTAATTTCTGCTGTGCGCTCACCTTTCTCTACCTCCACTCCAGCTGGTGGGCTGTCCCTCGGCACCCTCATGCCTACTGCAAGTCTATGGAACCTGCATTAGACATGATGACGTCAGGGGACCTAGAAGGGGAGAAGAGGCTGCGGGGCTGGTCTTGCAGCCCAGAGGGAGTGGGGATCAGGTAAGAAAATCAGCTTTTCCCTGTCCCCTACTGCAAGGTAAGTACTTCTGTTTGCCCGGAGACGGGCTTTAGTTGCCCCCTATGTGCAGCCCTTTGGTGATATTAGGAGCTGCACTTGAGGTTCTCTATATCAAGTAAGTTGACCACCATTGATCTACCTGCTAGCAATATTTTAATACACTTTAAGAAGGCTCTATTGCTCTTTCTAAATTCAGGAGCCAGTCTGTCCAACCCAGGAGCCAGCAGGGTTTTATTTCGGAGAAGCTCCTTTAACACGAGCTAGGGAAAACCTCAAAAGTTGGGCACCAGCCACCATTTTTAAGGAGCATTGGGAGTCCTCGTCTCTGGGATCTGTCCAGCCCTGCTGTACAACCATTATAATTCCCAATGCATGACATACAACAACAATACAACAGTAGGCTGCTGCGTGCACGTAGAATGTCAACAACTTCAAAGCTTAGGTTTTTTTCAGATGGTCAGTTGAACAGGTTTGACAATATTTCCAATTGTTACTGGTTTTAATGAGATAAGAGCCTGCGAGAGCTGCTGTCTCCTGCCTCCCGTGTTTACCAAAGCCAAGAACATAGATATTTATGTGCAAGCAGGCCACATGCCTGAGGGCGACCAAGCTGTATCTGCACGCCTGGCTACCCCTTGTTCATGGCCACATTATGCTTCCTCATTTAAAACTGGAAGTACCGCTAATGTTTATTCTGAAGCACTTAGCGCTTTATACTTCAGTATTATCATTTGGCTGTATTCTGCGGAATACTGGTTCATCCAACAAAATGGCTGCCACAGAAACAGAAGCAGACCTGTTGCCAGTAGCAACCAGATTCCATGCTTTTAATTCTCCTCAGTACACATTTGGTTACTATGGGTGAAAATCCTATGTCTGCTTGCTCCCGTTTTTTAGAAATGTCCTCCCTGTGTGAGGCAGCAGGCTCATCTGAAAATAAGGCCATGACTGAAGTTAATATAGGCTTTTCATGAGACAAGATAATGGCGGAATGAGAGTCAGATGCGCTGTTCTCACCGATGAGAATTGCAGTGCGCACAGATGAAATAACAGGGTTGACGGTAAAATAAGGACTTTTTGGAGGCACTGATGAGTCGAGCGGTTTGTCATTGACCTAGTACTGTCAGGGACGTGTTGCATTATAAAGATGGCCGCCCCTATCCGACACACTGCCGCAGCCTAGCAACAGTCAGAAAGACACTCTGCCGGGAAAACGGAGAGATCTAAGTGCCTCCTGTGTAAA